ACAACACAGGGAGACCCCGTTGCAATGGCAATGTATGCAATAGGCCTATCAGTGCTCCAACAAGAAATAAAGTATGAAACAACTGGGGTCAAACAAGTGGCATATGCTGATGACCTCACAGGAGCAGGAAAAGTGGAGGACATCAAAAAGTGGTGGGACCTGGTAACATCGCGAGGTCCACAAATAGGGTACCACCCAAACGCCAGCAAATCCTTCCTCATCGTGAAGCCAGATCATTATGATCGGGCTGTGGAGGTTTTCGGCGAAAGTGAGGTCAAAATAACTAAGGACGGCCAAAGACATCTAGGCGCAGTAATTGGCACTACGGACTTCAAGACCCAGTACGTAGGGGGAAAGGTGAACGAGTGGGTTAGCGAAATCCATGCTCTATCGGAGATTGCTAACACAGAGCCACATGCGGCCTTTGCAGCATTCACACATGGAGTCAAGCATCGTTGGAACTACCTGATGCGTACCATCCCTGAGATCCGACCCCTCCTCCACCCTTTGGAAGAAGCAATCAGTGTCAAGTTCATTCCCAAACTAGTGAAACACCACGACTTAACCCCAGTAGAAAGAACACTTCTTGCACTTCCACCAAGACTGGGAGGGATGGGACTAACTAATCCAGAGGAGATTGCTGACTCTGAACATCAAAATTCACTTAAGCTCACGGCAGCCCTCACTGACCACATAATAGCCCAGAATGCAACAGGGGAAGTGGACACCAGCGAAGTTAATAAGATCCGTAGATCCATTACAACAGATCGGCAGCACTGCCAAAATGACATGTTGCAGCAACTATTGCTGCAGGTTCCAGAAAATTTGACAAAAAAAGTAGCTATAGCGCAGGAGGTGGGCGCCTCGAACTGGTTAACTACGTTACCGATAAGGGCAAATGGTTTCAGCCTTAACAAACAAGAATTTACAGATGCCATTGCTCTAAGGTACGGTTGGCCAGTAGATGGTTTGCCCTCCCAATGCGTGTGTGGCTATTCCTATGATGGCGATCACGCCATGGTTTGCAAGAAGGGGGGCTTCATATGCATGAGGCATGACGAGGTAAGGGATCTCACAGCAAATATGTTGAAGGAAACCTGCCGGGACGTCATGGTAGAACCGACCCTCCTTCCACTGGATGGCGAGATCCTCCAACACAGGACTTCAAACACATCTAACGAAGCCCGTGTGGACGTCAGTGCTCGAGGATTCTGGACGCGGGGACAGCGAGCCTTCTTCGACATCAGGATTTTTGATCCCATGGCCGTTTGTCACCGTAACCTAGCTCTCGATGCTGCACATAGGAGGAACGAGAACGACAAGAGAAGGGCATATGGGGAGAGAATTCAAAATGTCGATCAAGGCAGCTTCACTCCGCTAGTGTTCACAACCTCTGGTGGGATGGGCCCAAGCGCAAGATGTTTCTACGCCAGACTCGCGGAGCTGATCTCCGAACAGAAGCAGCAGCCCAGAAGTTATGTCACAGCCTGGATGAGATGTCGACTGTCCTTCTCTCTCCTTCGGTCGGCTTTGCTCTGCCTCAGGGGAACGAGAGCTTCTGCCCCTACTCCGTCAACTGCTGCAGATATCGACTATGAGGCTACAGTCACCGAATGCCGCATCGATCTGCGGCTCAACTAATTTAACACAGATAGGATAGTTGCTTATGTATTAGGATAGGTTAATATTAAGGTAGTAGTAGTAGTAGTAGTAGTAGTAGTAGTAGTAGTAGTAGTAGTAGTAGTAGTAGTAGTAGTAGTAGTAGTAGTAGTAGTAGTAGTAGTAGTAGTAGTAGTAGTAGTAGTAGTAATAATAATAACTATTATTATTATAATAATTAATAAAAATTAATAACAATAAAAATAATAACAAATACATACAAAAACAAAAAAAGAAATCAAAAGTGAGAAACGATATACATTATGTATGTTGTGTTGTCAAAGTAAGAGAAACAATTGAGACCCTGTAATTGTGTGTAAATGGGGCAGAAAGTCAGATCAGCAACCTGGGATTTGGCCAAAATTTTTGTGTTGCCACATGGCAGAAAGGTCTACCATTTGACAACACATTATGCTTCCAATATTTTCCCAGGCAGTAGTACCTCCCTGTTAAAAGTATTATTAGAAAATAATGTTAAATGATAGGACCTAGTGAGATGATGTGGTTAAATACTGTAAAGCTGTACTGGGCAAGCTTTATACAGTATTGTAATAAGTGGTCAAGTCGCTATTTATGATAGGGTTGTGTTCCTGATAACCCTAAGTAAATTGAAAGGCTTTTAACATGGGTTTCAATGGGATATGTTCCTGACCTGGCCAATGCAAACATGTATCACAGAAATGCTATCTTACACATATTAAATAAATAAAAAATAAAAAATATAACAACACTCGCCACATTAATAATAACAAGCCTATTGCTAAACAATGTATAACTTTATCTCCAGAGACACAGCCTTCCTTGAAGCCTTGCCTTCCCAGAGGCGGGAGTCAGCAGTAGGACGCTTGCTAGTTATTTTCAAAGTTACAAAGTTACTGTCACTGATCATTTCAGTCACCAAAACAAGAGCAAAATCTGAATTGTAATATTTTCCTCTCACCAATAATACAAAGTATAACAGCTATCACAAGGTTATGCAACAATTAATAACAATAACATTTGTTACATGAGCAGGGACAGATGCAACCACATTGAAACAAAGCATGGGACTGTAATGTGCATGGTGGCATCATAGAACAGATGATAATCTTTTGGGGGATAGTAAACCCTTGATAATTCGGCCCCTATGAGGGGCTCTGGTATTGCCGAATTATCCCAAATTCCGAATTTTCAGGGCACTTCCCCCCCACAATAATACAACAATAAAACAATATTGACCCATAGATGTGTACATGTAATAACTAATTTTCAAAAAGTAACACTTACCAGCACTGCAGGTGAAGAATAAAGTATCGTAGTAGGTGACAGAGGCATGGTAAGTGAGGCAGGTGGTGGAGGGGGGATGCTACGGAAACATTAAATGGTGCAGCACTTCTGTATACAGTACCACTGTAATTTGGTCACTTAAAAAAATAAAGAATAAGTTCAAACAAAAATAATTGTTTTTCTCTACGTATAATTCAAGTCTGTATGTGAAAAGCAAGTAACTTATATCACTCAGGATATTATCATCCATCCTCGGAAAACTGGTTTCTTTAATAGAGGAAAAGAATAAAAATTAAAATACTCTAATGTGATTTAGAAATACTGTAAAGAAATTAAAATATAAAACTATAAAATAAGAAAAATGAAGCGCATAGGTGTCTGTGAGAGGCAAAAGTAAGTGGAAGCAGTGAGCTGCATTGTGTGGCAGACTTACCCGCCTCCCTAACTCCAATGTAACGTCATGGCACACACATACACACACACACGTCTCTGTCAGCTGGTTGACTGCCTGGCTGAACTGTGGCATTGCTTCGATAATGGTTTGAGTGTGGAGGGAGCTATTTTTTGTACATAAAATGTGCTATTGTATTTTAGTATATGCTATGTATCAATTTTACCGTTTATAAAAGCAATTTGTTGAAAAAGCAGTTACTGGTATAGCGCTATCGGTGTCATAAATGACTTCAGTTGTGTTCGGAATGTTGGACTAAATTTGAATTTTTACTGAACAGAATCAAAGGGGACAAAGTTCACATACCCAGAAGACTCAGATAGTTGGAATTTTAATAAAAGGAATTGCACTGTAGATTAAATAAAGTCTATGACACAACTCAACAGTAACAGGTGAGTCGTACCCAAGCTAACCTTCACACAGCGAGGTCCCAGGTACCCAGTGATAACTGCCCGTGAGACTCGGCACCACCAACTATGTGTTAATCCGTCCACGATAGGGAGGCCTGGGACACCTCACTCAGTTGAGTGAGTGAGGTCCTGTGACACCATCTGTGAGGGAGTTACTACACTACGTGTCTGCTGTTCAACACCTCAGCGCACATGATTAGCGTGACCTCCACTGTAAACATTAATCTGTATGTTCCTTTACTTTTCTCTAATGAAGGCTTTTGTTAAACCACCAATGTATATAATAAGTCATTTATGTCCAATGTATATTTTCAGCCTTCGGGCTGCAGAACTTTTTCATTAAACCGTTAATTATTATTATTATTTTTTTATTATTTTAAAAGTGGAGATATTCTGCATACAAAGAAAGGCCTAACATGAATGGGGGAGGATGTTGGGTGTCACTGGGTCAGTACCGCAGGAACCAAATTTTACCAGGGGGTGCTGAATATTAATTCTGGTGTCCTATATACTGTATGGTGCAATGTATAGCACCTTATACACATCCATGTACTGGGTGGAGAGAGAGAGAAGGTGCGACACACACAGGAGCACTGACTAACCACAGAATGTGTGCAGATGCTCATCTGCCAGTGGTTAGTCAAAAAATTTCTAACAGCCTCGTGGATAGCTGAATTTTGAATGCGAATCTTGAATAAAGGGTCAATAATAATTCCGGGATTATTTTATGTAACCTGTTTTCCCCGAGGTATTTTTAAATAAACTCTGAGAGTATATCAGTCAAGTTATATAAAATTCCAAATTATCAAATGCCGAGTTATCCAGGGGTTTACTATATATAAAAAGGGGTACAAAAAAATGTGACTACATAAAGTATGCAGAATCATTTGATACAATTTACTCTATTCTCGTTAAAAGTGGAATGACACTATATGGTACTAATTTTTAATCATTACTGCCAAGATAACAAGATATCTTACCAAATACACAAATTTAAACATATTCTCTCTATCCACTTAAAAAAATAAAAAAATAAAAAAAAATAAATAAAAATAAAAAAATAAAAGTAATATGCAATATTACATGGTCTTAAACTATCTAAGAGCACATTAACAGAATATAATTTTTATCCGAATAAAATGTCTGCCTTACACAGAAGAAAAATCCCATGTAAAATGTATTTTACAGAGAGTGCAAGGTATGGGATAAATGCATCGTCTTTCATTCTTTATTTACGTTAAAACAATCATACCGATAACATAAATGAGGTTACAATATATTCTTTACAACTATGAAGGGACTGGATATTCCCATAATAAAAAAATTGGACTTCACAACATTATTATATAATATACATATTATAAATGGAAACTTGAAGAGTATTTCTTTGCTATAAGAGGCTAGATTAACACCTCTCCTTCATAATGACAGAGATAGCAATGGCACATAAACCCTTAAAGCTCCAAAGTGGCCATCTTAATTTTGCGTTGTTATTTCTGTTTTTGCAATTGCACAGCAAAACTGTTTTTAAGAGATCAATGGTTGATGTCATGGTTTTGAGCTATTTTGCATTAATTACATCAAAATCAAATAAGAAGTTGTGAAAACTGTATTCTAAACAACTTCTACTGTGAAGCTACTTAAATAATTAAAATGCTGCTCAATCGAGGTAGAGAATACTCTATATTTTCAAGCATCAAGCTTTCCTTGGTCCAGACTCAGTACTCTTCCTTTTTAATTGTGTAATGATCTGTATATTACCTAAAAACAAAATAATTTTGATTAAATAAGATTAGACTGAACCAAGAAAAACTTGGGAATTTGATCTGCCAAGCCTAGATGAGCAGGGTATTAGGACAACTACATCACTACACCAATACACTAATGAGTGACTTGTCCAGACATCTCTGTGTAGTAGTTTTGCTATTACCATGCATATCAATCACCTTGAAGCCTCCAAAAAGTGTTCCTGAAAACAATACTAGCAATCCTATGTACACATGAACACTGGCATAATGTTTAACACTGCCTGTCATCACCGATGATTACTTACTATTACTTCCTGTTTTTAATAAATCTAAGAATCTCCTTATTAATGAATTAGATATATGATGAATATTTTCTCTGATGGTGCTGTAACAATATCATATATACAAATGCACCTAAATTATCAACAGTCTTTCTTTTTGATATGCAAAAAGGTTATAAATAATGCAAAGCAAAACTTCCAATGTGCAAAAACAGCTCTTAACAAAACTGTGAATCAACTTTTAAGTAAAACTCTCCATACAGTATTTGATATATGCATTTAGAAATATTAAATAAATACAAGGTGACTTTTCAAGATGAGTTTGACTCACACATCAAGTCCTGCACAAGGAACTGTCATACCTTAAATAGATTCAACACAAAGGACCTTAGAGTAATATGTATGGAAGCTTTTATATCTTTACAAGACAGTTTAATCTCTAGCTTCTCATGAAAAAAATATCAATAAAAAAATCATCTATACATGTATGTGTGTATGTATTGTAAAATTTACATGCATTGAAGATGAACACTGTCCAACGAGAAGGAAGACCACAAATCCTCTCAGGGTGATACATCAAGCAAGAAGTGTACAAGAGCAAGATTCTATTTTGTGCGGACACTGATCAACTTAGCATGATACAAGGTGCTTAATGGTCAAGCGCCGAGGATAGGAATGGATAAAACATTTAGAAACTGTGAGTAAGGTGTGCCCCTATAACTGACAGTGTCAGTTAGGCAATTGGTAAAAATGGATGAGAGGCACAAATATTAAAGAAATATAAAATTTAAACCGTGTAATGCTTTATCATTCTCAACTTACGATTGCAGAGTAATTATAGTCTTCCTTATGAACCACTGTTTTGGTTATCAGGATGAAACAAGTTGATGAAACACCTATATTAGACTTGTTTTATCCATATGTAATAAATCTTGTATAAAATATACAGTGCAATTACAGTCATACTTTGCAAAGTAAAATGTAATTCAAAGTACCTCTAGAACTAAATCATTACACTTTTCCTAAGGAAAAGGAATAACAAAAAATATTCCTGTTTCATATCACCTGCAAAATCTGGCATGTAAGAATGTTTGCACAGATCTGCATATTATCTCCATAAGCTTCTAAATCACAGTCCATAACACCATTTAACAGACAATAATCACATTAACAATTGTGACCTTTAAATTATCTAGCATCAATCATTATTCTGATTCAGAAGCAGCCTCCAGTGAGCCTCTTTTGACAACATTTGTTTGAGAACGGGACGAAGATCTTGACAATGACCCTGTTCCTTTTCTACCCTGGGAGTTGACTCTTGCCCTACGCACGGAGCCTGTTCGAGTCTTTGGTCGAACTGAATGCTGTCCTTGAGAAGTAGAGGCAATAGAGGCTAAAGAAGAGTGTGAAGATGACTCTGATAACTCTAGCTCAGTATTCAGTGACATAGTAGATCCAACTCGTTGAGCTCGTGCCCATTCAGCACCACGAGTCACATCTGCTGCATTAATCTGAAGTGAATAACCAAACAGAAAATATAAGAATCATGGAAATTTTTGTATCTTGATGATTATTACACATACTGTATATCTCAAGATCCCATGCACAGTCAAAAAAAAAAAAGTACCAACCACCCTGCCATGCGTAACAATATGAAACCGTGTGAAAACTGTAAAAATATTCCTGTGGGTACCAGTGTCAGTTAGTTTTTATCGTTCATTTTCTATTCCATCAATCTTGGGGTGTTCAATACTTATTTTATTGAGTGTACATTTAGCTAAACTCTGTGACAAATATGAATCCCTCTTGGCATATGATATCTGAATCTAAAAGTACATTTACATTGCAGGTAGTGTCATCATTATCACTGTTTCAGCCATTCTCCTTGCTTTCATGGGTTAGCCGACAGTGGAATGGCATACTGTATACAGTAAGTGGTATATGATGGTTGACATTTAGCTTAAGATATTAATGTTAACTGGAAAGAAAAATAGCTATCTTACAGGTAAGATGATATTTTTATAACTGTTCCATTTTTAATGCAATTCTATCCTATTACATAATGCAGGTAACTACTGTAATCATTTTATAAAGCATGAGTGTAATTGAAGTACAAGCTACAAGCACAAATGCTAAATGTATACCTAGTAATGGTTATATTAAATATTTACCGATACAGGTAACTCACGTTATACGTGCGTTTGATTTAAGCGTTTTTGGAATAACGCGATTGTTCAATTAATACCAAAAGCTAATTTAAGCGCACCTATTTTGGAAATAATGCGCTCAAGACAGTTTAAATTTGCCGCATGTATTCACCTGGTCGCCTGGCAGTAGAGTCGCATGTGATGCCTGGTGAGGTGCTTAAACTATGAAGTCGCAGTCATATCAACATCAACGATTTTAATATTATTATTAATAATAATAATTATTATAATAACGTAATAATAAAGATTATTACTACTAACGATGAAGATAATGATGACAATGAAGTATTCTGTACAACAAGTGTGACGACGTCCAACAAGCTTCCCGTGTATCACTTTCTCAGTTCACACCAGCACTACTTTTTCTGTGTTTTCATTTACATTGTGTGTTTTTAGTGTTAAACGCTGTTTTCCCCCATTGAGCATGTCTGGAAAACGTTCATTTGCCTACTCTGGGGTGTCTAAAGCTAAAAAGGCACGAAAAACAATCACAATGGACGTGAAATTAAATGTGATTACCCGCCTTCAGAGAGGAGAGCGTGCGTCAGAGGTTGGTCGTGCGCTTGGTTTAAGTGAGAGCACTGTTCGTACCCTATAATGGTTCCCCTAACCTGTACCATTTACATGTATTCTTATGGGAAAATTATGTTTAATTTAAGCATTTTTAAATTAAGCGGTGGTTTTCAAGAGCGTAACCCCCGCGTAACACAAGAGGTGGGTGTACTGTATAGTAAATGGTCATGTTACTTATTCCCAAACCAGTGGTCCTGGGAAAGAGGATAACTTGCACCTGAAGTAATATATGGAGAGAGAACTACAGCTCTGTCAAAGAAGGCAGAGATGGAGATGTATTGTGGAAATGATGAGCTCACAATACTGTACAGTATGTGTGTCATGGGTTGCGTTAGGCTTACCCACGCAACCAACTCCAAAGCTTGTTTTACCAGAGATAAGACGCCTGGCGAGGCATAACTGGGACATGTATTTTTCAATTAGTGTATGTCAGCCAGCCTTTAGGGGGGGTGGGCAGTGAAACAGTGTTGTACTGTTCATCGCTTCACACCCAAAAACCTCATTTTAAGTAGTACCCCCTGAGCCATGGGTTAGTTAAGACGTCGTCTCCATCCTCTCCCTCCTGAAAGGGGGCGGGACACCACACCACACAGAGTCCTCCACCGCCACTCCGTCCTGTGAACCGTCGTCGACACGAGACTAAGTGTGTTAACCTAGGTTTGTTATCCCCGTGGAAATATCACGTGTGGAAGCCTGGTTGCGACAAAAGCAATCCAGGCTGGTCTATTGCACCTAAATGGTTAATTCAAGTCACGCTTACCAGTTCTCCTTGCCGCGACAACCGTCTACCGTGACTCAGTGACGCGAGACTATGTGTGGTACACCAAGAGTACCTTTTGTTGTTATGGCCGTGGAAGGTCGACACGAGACTAAGCGTGTTAACCTAGGTTGTTATCCCCGTGGAAATATCACGTGTGGAAGCCTGGTTGCGACAAAAGCAATCCAGGCTGGTCTATTGCACCTAAATGGTTAATTCAAGTCACGCTTACAGAGTTCTCCTGCACGACACCATGTGTGGTAACCCAAGAGTACTTTTTGTTGCTGTGGCCCGTGGAAAGAAGTCCTTGTGCGGAAGCCTGGTTGCAACAAAAGCAATCCAGGCTGGCAGTAAATGTATCACTTGAAGAATTAAGGCTCTGTTAAGTTATACCCATAGTGGAGTAATCACATGTGTCCCCAAGTTAAAATTCTCTTTTAGAAGATTAATTTTATTACAGCGTGAACGTGAGTGAATCATATATCCATGCAAATTGTAAATCATTGTATGGAAGCTTGACAAATAAATGTAAGTGCAATTATCTGCCCGTATCTGTGATCCTATCTTATTATTACTAGAGGTAATGACTGATTGGTTATGACATAGTATAACCAATAACTTAGATGGATGTTGAAAATTAAATGAATTCATTAAATCATCATTTATCAAGTATAAATCATGGAATGTCGAGTGGTGGAGTGAACTTCTACGTAGATACGCCATAATCTCCTGTAAGTAACCAGTGTGAAGGTATCGAACTCTACGGTAAGAAATAAGAAATACGACATAATATTATCTTTATATAATATAATCCACTCCTACCACTACCGAACCACCCCAAAACCATGACAATGTGAATCAAGGCCTCTGGATGCAAACAGAAGTTCTAAATTCAGGCCACATTGCAGGAACTAAAACGAATCTGCTTCCAGGATTTGAAGTGTTAGAACAAAGAAATCAAGATTATTGTGTTGATACTAACATCTTAAGAAACATGAGGTACAATGTGAATGCATACATGTGTCACACTTAATATAACCTCACCATTGATTTTGGTCTGGGACGAATCTCAGACTTGCCTCTTTTTCGCGACTGTCCTTTTGCTGGCGGCTCTTGGAAGTGTAGCGTAGGCTGAGATCTGATGAAAGCAGAATATATACTCTGGTATTCTTTTGGTTAAATTATTGTTTAAATAATGAGCATAAAATGTACTCCACTGTTCTCTTGGAAAAATTGCAATACAAAGTTTAAATCTAAGGCAAGGTATGTACTGTACTCTACAGTCCAACTGTCCCTTCAAAGTATTTTAATATATATCCAATATGATTAGTTTATATGCAGTAACAGTAAATTATATATACATTTATATATACAGTACTGTATGTATTGTACCCTTAAAGCATGATGTTCGTTTGTATGAAGCAACAGGTGTATTAGATTTGGGGCTTTGTTGTGGAAAGGGAGAACCATAAAAGAACAAATCTTCTATAGCAGTAAGAATAAATAAATGATAATGAATGATTGGGAAATGTGTGTGTAATACTGTACAGGAAGATGTACATACTGTATATTAAAAGAGCATATATTTGCATAAGAGTACACAAATTGGATACATAAATAAATTACATAATACTACAACTGAAATGTTGAAAAACATTAAGACTTCAAGCTGTTATGCTCATAATACATTAAATTGCCTCATACACAAATTATTTGATTTGTACATATTTGTCTATCATATATTTTTGGTATTAGTAAACTATAGCTGTCAACACAATTGGTTATTACAGAAATACATTTTTGCTACATTGATAATTCAAAAACTTTCTCCAAATACATGTGGCTCAACTGCAAAACCTTCAACTCTATATGTTATCAAGCAAAGGATTAAGGTAAGATTAGAAAATGCTAATAACCCATATGCTGCAAGAGTAGAAAAATGATGAACTCCCAATAATATTATCTTTAAAATAGGAAAACTCATTGAATTGCCTGCAAAAGCCAATGAATTTCAAAGGATGCCAAAAAGAAGGTGCATTTGGCGAAATAGCTGTGTTAAAGCTGATGTCATCAAGCATTATCAGAAATTTTCTACAGTGTTACAACCAGCACCCCATGCACAGAAGACCAACCCTGTTTTGGACACTTCCATATGGCACGACCTCTGTGTGCCACGCTTGTCAGAGCATAGCAGGAATAGATGAATCGTCCAGAGTCATTATGATACAGCCCAGTAGAAAATTCTTTCATGCACTGTTGATTAATATTCTTTTAAACTAACTTTTTGCAACCTCAGTGTTGACCATCTAAGCCCTTAGAATAATCCAAAGTACTGTACTTGGAAAGTTTCTTATCAATAAAACACAAATAACCAGATGCCCGAATTTACACAAATAAGATTCCCCTCTGGGATGATTAAATTTTCCTGCAGCAAGGAGTCATGACAAAATTTCATTATCCACCTCATGACACAGGAGAAGTAAAATGCCTATAAGAACCCAAAACAATAAGCACAGGTAATATGGCTATTAAAAAAAGCATGAAAATATAAATTATGAACCTAATGAATAATGATAATGAACATAAATAATACTGTAGCCTGATACAGTAGAACAGTGGACTCATGAATACTGTATCTGCCAATCTACTGTATCATCCACAATTGTCAGATAAATGCTAAATCTGGTGTAACTATAAGTTTCTGATATGGAAAGAACATTAATGTTGTAGATTTACCAAGATTCCAGTGCAAAAGATACCAACTAATCACATGAGATGCTCTGTAGTGTGCATAGTACGGGTAAAACAACAGCCACAGCATGTGATTCTGAGTTGATTCACATAGTAGAAAAAGTCAGCTTATGTTGTTGAGGAATAGTCTAGTGTCAAAGGTCAGTGTTTAGCACAGTTGAGCCATATGGCCAAAGACAACAGAAATTATAGGTAAGGTATAGTAATTGTAAAATTAAAATTTTTATTGTGCTGCCTTTATTATAATGGTCTGACACAATACTAAAGTTATCTAATTGCACACATGTAACAACCTCCTGATGTTTAAAGATAACCTTCTGGGATGCATGGAAATTTTAACTGCAGGTTTTGGAATTCTCTGAAATTTTATGCCTCACACAAGGATTTTACTGTATAATTCTATAATTGCATCATCAATTTATCTATGATATTTTTCACTCAGGGTAACTTCTGTATACTATAAACTATATATGCATACAGGTATTGCTACTATCTATCTCAATTTGCCTCATTGTCAAATACCCACTAACCCTCTGCACTTAACTATGGCATATACAGTAGTAGAGTCCACTGCACTACAAAATGTTCTTAAAATTATAACCATGGCAACAAGACAAAAAAGCATGAAGCTGTATTTAACACACAGATCATCCAGACACAGACCACCATCTTTTTTATGATTCTACCGTGGGAATTTTATATTTCACACAACTAACCTAAAAATGACACTTAAACTTTATACAATAAAATTTAATTTTATCTTACATCAGATTATGCAACCATGTACTGTACTAGTCTTTCAGTTAACCAATAATGTGTAAGTATATACTGTAAATCATGCAATAGATTAAAACTTAATAAATACACATAATGAATAATAAAAAAATTAGAATACTGTATTGTATATATTTTAACAATTCATTCATATTATTTTTTCACTTATAATACACATTTAATACAACCCTATGCAATGTGAGTCAGTTAATGTTCGTTCTTCCAAAAAAGATATCATGCTATGAATCATTTTATTTATCTAAAAAGTCAAAGTAAATTTTATGCACGTTCAAAGGAAGATTTAATTCAACATTATTTCAAATATTATGCATGCAGTAAACTAAATACGGATCATCTATTACAGAAACGAAACATTGAAGTCTACGATGAGGAACAATATGGTGTAATATGAGTAACTGATGTGAAAAAGAGAGAGAATGTATGCAGAGTATAAAAAAGACACTTAAGAGTGAGGGAAAAGAAGATGTGAACCACTGTGGGAGCAAATGATGATTTATGGAGTAAGAGAAAAGATACTCAGTCCAACTAAAGTTTTCTACAGGAACATTAAAGTGTGAGGGAGTACTGTACTGGTAAATGAAGGTCTAAGAGAGAGCTCTGAGGGTGAGTGGGATTTAGGCAGGACTGTGATGTTTACATGGTTGTTCAACATATACTGTACTGTATATGAATGGAGTGATGGGAAAATGGTGCTGAAACTAGATGGTAGGAAGTGGCTGGCATTAGCTTTTCCTTTCTTTTTTTTATACACAGGGAATAGCCCACCCGGGCATAGGTCATTGACCCACAACAAGATCTAGGGGGCAAAAAAATAAGGGTAAAACGAAATTAAAAATAGAAAAGAAAAAGATTATATTAATCTGCACCACAAAGATGCCAGAAAACCAGCTTTTTGAAGTGAGACAGATTTTCTGAGTATGGAAACACAGAAGAAGGCAGAGCATTCCACAGTTTGGCTGTGTGAGGAAAGAAAGATGTACTATAACGGGTTATTCTAGTGAGACCGACATCCACAGAGAAACGGTGGCCACCGCGGGCAAGATGAGTGTTACGAGCCCACAGCCTTGCTGGCAGTACACAAGATGCTAAATCCACCGAACATTGCCCGTTAAAGTACCTGTAAAAAAGAGGTGGAGTGAAGCAACATTGCAGCGAAGAAAGATTATCAACTAAAGGAGGAGACTGTTGGACAGAAGAGCCACCCCAGATATGAGAGCAGTACTCCAAGTTAGGACGATTGAATCCCTTATAAACTCGAAGCAACTGCTCAGGGGTGAAGTAGCTATGGCATCTGTACAGCATTTCTAGCTTTCAGGAGGCAGCTTTAGCAATGTTGTGGATGTGTGGCTTCCATGAAATTAGAGGAAATGGTGAGGCCTAGCATATCTATTTTAGAGTTTGGCAGAATGATTGCATCCTGAAATGTGATTGGTGGGAGATCATCTAATTTGGAAAGTGTAGTTGGTAAATACTGTACTGAGTTTTATTAATATTGAATTTAAGCAAGTTTCTACCTCCCCATTCGGAGATGCTGCACAGATCTGCATTGATAGATGAAATGATATCAGCTCGAGAAACAGATCTAGTTTGAGAATTAGGGGGAAGGGAAAATGTGAAGATGAGTGAAGAGTAGAATCATCAAAGTAAGAATGGACGATTACGTGCTTTTTTGTACTGTACTCTGAATAGGAATTGTAAAGGGTAATGAATGACTTTGACAGAGTGCAACAAAAAAAAAATTTCAATACTGTATAGTAAATGGAAAGGCAAATTATTGGTACCTGAGAAAATGAGTTGGAGTGAATGTTGAAAACCATATGGAACACAAAAAAGAGCAAACACAAATGTATAAATTGTGAAGATTGAAATACTGAAGGAGGTTAAGAAATTCAAATATTGTATATGGGAATGATATTACTGTACGTGAAAATAGTACAATAGAGTAAAAACCAGAAAACAATTGGAGAGTGAAAACATATCATTAGAGAAGGCATGTAAGCTTAGAGATAAAGATGGAACTGAGGGATAATAAAATTTTTCCTACCTTCACATATGGCAATGAAGCACGGGCTTGGAATAGAGCAGAATGCCCTAAACCTCAAGATAAAGAACCTAATTACCTGAGGGCTGCATCTGGAGTTCACAGAATGGAAGGGGAAGATACATGGGTGTGTGGAATACTTGGAGTAAATGAGAGGGCATGAGGATGTGTAATGCAGAATGGTGGACTTGGTGAAGATAACCTCTCCAATAAGCATGGATGTGACAGATGGATGTTAGAGGATAGGATGGTTAAGAGGGTGTATAGAGGTAATGTAACATGTGTAAGGGCTAGAGGTTTACACCTTACTTGAGGTTTACACCTTACTTAGTGTGAGGGAGAGGTAGGCACAAGCAATATGTCATAGCCACCTCCTCTGAGGGAATCTCCCTAAGGGGGTGAGGCATCTAAGATAAGATCTGCAAGGCCTTTTAAAAATTAATCTATAAAAATATTTTATACTGATGGACAGACAGGAGTAACTTTATGCCCCATTACATTCACTGGCAGGATGTAGAAAATTATCATTATAAAAAAAAAGAGGTTTTTAT